ACATTCGACTTCAGGCATCTCATGAGTAACGAGTCCAGTTATCAACTAAGCACAAAGTAATGTAGGAAATGCTTACATCAATTCGTAAGCCACCACTTTTAGAAATTTCACGCCAATTAGGAGTGCAGAATTAAAGTTACTTAAAAGTGATTAAATATGGACCGCATGTAATCACAACCTATATAAAATATGAAAAGAGAGTAATGCAACTGAATAATATGTTGCTTAAAGTAAGCGTCTAAAATTAAACACATTATTGAACACTATACCTATCCACCAATTTGATATGCTACTTCCGAGGTAGAGCACTTAAAACTAGTCACCATAAAACGCTAATTTGTCACTCGATTCTCCAAGCGTTGAACTTTTGCAAAAAAAACTATTACATTGTCAGTGGAATGCGGTCTTCTATTTGGCATAATTGGTGGTAAGAATTTGACATTCGCTCATTTCGAAATAAAATGTGTGGGAACAGTCCTTCCCAGTTTTTTAGAAGATATATAATCAAGAAAATTTCTTGATTAACTTTGGAAAAGGTGTCTAGGAGAAATTACACATTTTACTTTTTCAGCAGAATTTCAAACGCATTTCTCAATCCACATGAAAGGTATAAATTATTTCGCATTGATGGCTGCAAAGAATTGCAAGTACGTCAATCTTAATGTGGGCAGGTCAGGGTTCCTGAAAAACTAACCCTTCACTTAGAGCTTTATAGCAGGTCTTACGGCTAGCCTTAAGCTGAAAAATATAATTACAAATGCGATCTCTAGTGAAAGTGTTGATCGTTGAGTAGTTTTCTGTGCCGATGCAAGAAGGCACAGCTCGAATGCTCCCTGCATTTGAGCTGCCGCATGAATACTACCAAATGGAAAATAACCTTAGTTACTATAATGTACGAGACTATGCAAAATCAAAGTGTTTAGCCCTCAAAATGCGTTAAACATCTAAAAAGTCATTTTGTGTATTAATTATCAGCAGTAAAGAATAATGTTTAAGTTGTTTCTAATACTGTCCTCAAAAGATATTGGTTCAGACGTTCTTAATTTCGGCGGAGTTTGACCTTATCAGCAAAATGATGCTCATTCTGGCGTAATTCATTTGGTTTTAAGTGCGTGCAGTGCTTTTTTTGGTACTTAAAGGACAAGTATCCTTTCGCACTACAGATATGCATTCTGACCTTTATACTTTAGCTTGTGCAAAAGCCTCAGACCAATGCTCTTTTTCCCCGGATTGTCAAATCTATGCCAAAATTCCTTAGTTTTTGCTCCAATCAGCACATGCAATTCCAATGGTTGAGATGTTTATGCATTTGAGGGCTTAATACTATCTTAATATACAATTACCTAGCAACAGAAGTTTGTTTTATGCACTTCAAGTGAAATTTATGACCTGAATTCAATTAATAAGACCTATTTCATTCGATGGCTCTGACGGGGTTAATGTTTGGGCTTATGTGTGACCTTTTTTAAGGGAAAATTGCATACGGCTCTTTACAGGGTCAACAAAGGGCTACACACTACGAAAATGGAAGCATCGCAAAAGGCCTTACAGATTCTGTCGTTAAATTATGCGGTTCTAAATGAAGTATGCTTTCCGATACTTTTACCATCTGGTCAAATAGCAGAAATCCATTGTACATTGTACATTTGAACATTTCACTTTTGAGTGTAGGGATTCGTCCCAAAATCACTACACAGGTACAAACGACTAATCTGTTCTGTCCAAAAACAAAAGCCGGCAAATGACATGGATGCTTTGATCCACCACTTAGGTTTTGTGATTGCTCATTTTATGCATAAAAGTGGTGCTTAACATAAAGAAGGTGGATTTCGAAAAGTAAAAATGAAGTTATTGCAATTTTTACTGTCGCCTAATCCATATAGTCAAGTCCAGAATTGTACTAGGTGATCAAACTAACTTGTTCGCTATGTAATGGAAGGCAAACCTCATCAATTTTATATTGCATTGTTAAGGTATCGGAACATAAAATCAGTCTTAAAATAGGAGGCAGTCAAGTTAATTGGTTTTTTTGCTTTGAATGAGATGCTATTCTCATGTTTTACTCATCTTACTTCCAATTTCATTTCGATGCAGCTCAAACTGGGAAGCTGCAAAAATTTTGGCTACTTTTGTTTTGTTTTTTGTTTCAGACACCAGAAAGAATGCGAGTGCAAAATGAGGAAATGTGACTTTGTGCACCAGACACCTTAACAGCTTTCAACAGTATTGAAACTCTTCGTAAAATATCCCAGATAGTAGTTGAGAATTTACTAAAAAGGGATGAAATAGGAAATAAGACATGAATTTTTATTTTCCAGGAGTGAGTCTTTGAGAGAGAGAGGTAAGGTAGGGGGGCCGGAGGATGACAGGGCACCACAGAAATTGTCATGTTTCGCAAGGTAAATAAATTAGTCACGTACAAGTTCGTAAATGCCAGGTCGGTTGCACCAGTTGAATTCCTGCAAACGTGACTAATGCCAAGCAGAAGGCGGCAGCAGCTTCTGCGCACTGAGTGGGTATAACTACTCCCGCGTTCGATGCAGCCCGAACGTCCGAGTGCGCCGTTCTACGTGACGCAGAGGTGGATGGATGACCTTTAGCCAAAAACAGCCACGAATCCAAAGCGCAGCCTGCCGCATATTCGGTGGCGTCTGTTATCTGATGCCCCTACGTCACAACTCTGGAGTTGGTCAAAGGAAAACTCATTAAAGGGGGTACATGTCTGACTGCTATCACGGACTAATCGATAATTTTGGTGCTACAGGATACCCCATTTCATTAGATGGGGTGAAGAGGCAATGAAAATAAAGGGCATTAAGTAGACAGTGTATTTCCACGCATGCCATACGCAATCGTGTGCCCGGATTTGTGCAATTTTCATAAAAACCCTTCATTTCCTAGTTTTTCCGAATTGTGAGTGGAAAAGAAAGTTGCAGTCAGTGAATTGGTAACATTAGCAAACTATAAACTTACTAATGCTGCAAATAGCTATTAGATGATGCTGTACTCCATTTTTACGTCAACCATGCATTTATTAAGGGTTATACGTCCATCTATCTTTAAAGCAAAGTTTAAGTTATTTTAAAGGGAAGCATGAATTGGGGGTTAACTTCTAGAACTGAGCATTTATTTGCATTTTTGTGACTTGTACCAAAAATTGGCCATTCCTCCTGATCTATGGCAGGTTGTTATTCGGTTTACGGAGATGAAAAATTAATACAGGTGGTAAGCTTTTGTAATCCTCTCCTTATTGTCACTGATAAAATTTCCTCTAGTTAAGATATCGAAAAGTTAGCAATAGATATCCAAGTTCAAAACTTTGTATTCAAGGATGGTGATATGGCACCGAATCACCACATCGTATAGCAACAGAGTATAAGAAGTTGTGCTAAATTAGCGAACTAATCAGTCATTAATTGTAACAGTTAATTAGCTAATCAGTTTTATGTCAGGAAGTACTGTTGAATGCAGACAGTATCCTTCTATTTTTACATCGATAATGTAAAGCCTACACTAACGTTGTCGATATTGTGCAATCACTTAGCCAAATTTTCTCTAAATTTTAGTAGAATGTGGAATGCACTAAGTTATTTTGGGTTTTATGACGCAAAACAAAGGTCAGGTCACAGTTCCCGTTGAATCCGTACCATTCTTAAAACTGTTTTTCAGACGATTCGGGTAGATTTTCAAAACCTTTAAAAATTCCGACCTTTAGTGGGTTCACTGGCTTGCAAATGGATAAATGATGGACAAAAATGTCAGCATTTTTATGTTGACAATTTCGTAATTAAGGGAAAAACATTAATACCGATAGGGTTTCAAGTATTCCCCAACCAATGCCACTGATAATTTGTTGGATTGAAAACAATGGCTCATCAAATTGTGATTAAATTCTGTCTCTACTTTAAAGCGGCTTTCCAGCTTTTTAAAATTAGCGCAACAAAGAAATAATGTTGTTCAGGCGATTAGGAGCTTCAGCCGTACCCAGTACAACCAGGACCACTGCCAGTACCAGGCATTGCACTGCAACAGTTCCCAATCCAAGGGCTGTTATTCCTTTTGAGCAAACATCTCCATGCTGCGCTTTGAGTATGCTAAGAAATTTTCGCCCAAACTTGTCATTGAGTTAACCAAAGGAGGGTGTGGGGATGGTAACTGAAATATGCGTACAATCACAGGGTCTTCATTCCATACCCCGAGTTCAAATTACAAAAGAATGGTGAGGGAATTCGATACACGTTGCAAGTCATGCTTACATGCTTGCTCTTAAGTAACAAATCTCGATTCTCCACGAAAACCTCCACTACCTATGTAATCCCCTTCCCAAACTACATACATGCTTGACAAACCAATCTTCTCGATTTAAGCGTCTGAAATCGGTGGTGGATGGGTGGAATGGTAGAAATTCTACAAAGTACTGTTTGATGTCGTACCATCAAAATGAAAGGAACTTTAAGAGCCATTCGCAAAAATGGGCAATTCTAGAAGAATTAAATGAGGTCTTAAGTAAAAATACCGGGTTCTTAATGCGTAAAACAGCTTATTTCACTTTCATGATTTGGGATTGATTTGACGGAGGTTTCTAAAGCAAAATTGCAAATTCGTCTGAATGTCTTCAATTAATAAATAACTACACCTGTATGTAAATGGAAGTTCAGGACATCTTTCGAAGCTTCAGTATTTATCTTGGCACAATAATTCCATAAAATCCGGTGATTTATCGTCTCTACTCTCCACTTGATAAGACACATAGGAGCGTCATACGACTGCCGTACGAACGGAGAATACTTCAATGGCATCAGCCTAAACGACGTATTTCCTTTAAGTGTGAATTGCCCTTTGATGGCTGTAAAGTTTAGGTTACATGTCTTTTTAGTGTTCAGAGGGTAGCTAGAAATTAGGTAAAATGAATACTATGTGTAGCAAAGTGTAGTTCATTGGTAAAGTAATTGCCTCCTCATAACCCGTTTGGCTTTAGAAGGAATGGAATCAGTATGGCTCAATAGTGTTGTGCCAAAAATAAATTAGTCATTTTTAATTCATGTCATTAAAATTTAGTTTAAAAATTCGAGGAAGTAATTATTGTAATTATGCCCCAAGCCATGGCACTAAAAATCATAGTATATTTTGTGATTCCCCAACTGATACTGTCCCTAAAGTGAAGTATGGAATGAAATGCTTAAGCGCAAGTCAGTGAATAAACACAAGTGTGTTGCATACGGGAGGGGAAGGAAGGCGATTCAACTGACCTTGGTGAATTATATGCTTTTAAAGAGCACCAAGCAGCGTTGAATACCTAATGACTTTGCGCCCTGCTGCGGCAATGATTCATCCAATCAGGCGAATGCAGCTGGATGTGTCCACGAACGGCTGCTTGCCAACCTCGAAGTGATCCATCACTATTATGCGTAAGTCACAAGGAAGAATCATTCCACCTCAGCGTTTCTGATACTCCTGTGAAATGGTTTCTTAGCAATTGGAGGCTCTCGATTAAAACGAAAGTGAATTGCTGATGCACAACAATTCATGGGCTTTTTAAAAACGCATTAGTGTACCCCGGCAAATATATGTACGTTTCGGTGACGTTGGCCATAAAATTATTACTGTCCACGGTTCGAGCGCACGCATCAGGTAGCTTATTACAGCTGCTAAAGCATTTCAACCGCTTAAACTATTTTTTGTGCAAAAAAGTGCACAAGAGCATCAAGTGGTTTTGGAATTCCCATTTGGATTTATTGAGCTTAGATTGGTAAATGTTGAAGACAGGATAATGTGTTCAGATAGCAATATTCACCTCAAACGAATTCAGCAATAAGTATTTTTTAAATAGATTTAGGTTCATTTTAGATAAAAATAAAGTCTCATTCCCAGAGTTTACAGCTACTCTTAAACGCTATTAAATAAAAACTGCTGAGACCAACTTTATTCAGCCAAAAACCACACATCCCATTTCATTTTAAAGGTCTGTGTATAGCAAAACAAGTTGGTGGTCTAAATTACCAGAGCATACCTGCCTTCTCAAAAAGAAGATGAAATATTCAGAAAAACGAGGTTCGGAACCTGACTAAAGGAGCGAAGAAATGCTGCCGCACACTTGTTTACTCAACTCACAGATAGCGAACCCACATTTCCCATCTTATCTAAGTCAAAAATTAAAGGATAACTTGTCTAAGGTCCTCTGCAGTTGCTTCTTAAAGATACCTAAAATTCTATGCTTAGTGTTTTTCGAATGCTTTATTATTCAAACAACTTTTATACACCCTCTCAGAGCTTCACTATCACGAATTTTAGGGCAGATTACATGTTATTGCAGCGAAGGGATGCTAGGCCAGGCGTATATCCCTGCTTTCGAAAGGAATACCAGAGGTGCGCACTCCAAGATGCACTTCATAATTTAACTTATTTCCTACATGAAAAAGAAAGCTATTTTATCCAATCTACAAGTGGAAGTTATAGAATTTGGGAGGAACAAAAAAAATGCATAAATTTAACCTATTGCCTAATTTTTTACTGAAATCACTACTCGCATTTTTAATACCGAATTATGCAGAACGGGACAACAGTTGCTATGATCTATCAAGTACTGGAAATTATCCAGCTGTCTGGCCTTCTTCCTGGAACTACTGATCGTGTAATACTTGGGATCCGACAAATGAACAGACTTGTGCGGCCGAATTGGAAACACTTCTTTAGCAATTCAACATCAAAATTGCTTGTTTTGTTTAAAATAATGATGAAACTAGAATAGGGACTTTTTGATTAAGAATTACGGGTGCAAAGGCGTCTACCCACGGAGACCTTGCCTTGATCCTGGAAAAGATTAGGAAGGCAACACATGATCGAGCATACACGCAAGATTTACGCAAAATTATATTTACATATTTTGACATTGGAACAGTCGCATTTGCAACGATTTACCTAGGAACGGCTGTCTCAGACTTGGAAAAACAGTTTCTTGAGCATCTAACATTTCTGTGTATTAGAAAGCAGGGTCTTATCGAGCCTTATAAAAATCAAATGGTTTCGATGCCTATTAAAGTTAACTGATTCTTACGCTATTTGCAAACTTAGTTACGGCCGTAATATGATATATTTGATGAAGGTAAAGTATCGTGATTATTAGACCGAATCGCACCACTAAATAAAGCAGCTCGCAGGAACCCGGGTCTCTTATGCGTGTGACTGAATGTGAAATGCAGACCAATAAAGACTATGAATGGAAACACCGATTAAACTAAAACAAATTTACTGAAACTGACTGAATAGGGCATTTAAATGTTATACTTAAAGAAAGGAACTTTGAAAGAGTGTCAAACTAATTGACGGACGAGATAGTGCACATTGTAAAGTTCTGCTGCATAATAATTTCAGAAAATCAAAAAATACAAGAAGCGGGAGATATACTAAAAATTATCATTGCGTAGGAAAAGTGAAACTGCAGGCGGGAGGGGGTTTTGGAGGGAGGCACTTCTATTTATATTACTTAATTCTATAAGAGACGGGTGGAACAAACCTAAATGTAGATTATTATTTGAAGGAATACAGGATTGATACACGTAAAGTATTGGCTTTTGTTTTTTTCGCAGTAAGTTTATTGGTTCAAATTTTGTTGTAAAACTGGACTACTTAAAGTGACAAGTGAATTCAGAATGGCAGATTTGCGACCAAGCATTCGGCCATTTACATGGAACTTTACCGTTAAGTAGCCATTAACTCACATTTTTGGTAACTGCTGTAGCATTTACTTAATTGCAATTGAGAGGACTGACAATGATTCGCAAAATACACATAACTAAGGTGAAATAGGCAATTACTTTTCTACCTTAGAATCCTCCATCAGCAGTATCACCCATTATCAGGTCTTTTGTAATTTTCACTGCCATCTCACAGCATGTCCTTGGAAATCGCAGCAGATCTGCAGCCTTGGCATTAATAAGTACAAGGACGTGCCGAAAAGTAAACTTTGGTAAAATGAAAGCTAGACAGTTTAGTCAATCTAGCTACCAAGCATAGGGCTTTAAAAAGCCCATCAGATATAAATGCTTCAGTTGCCTTTAACTTATTTACTTGTTTTAGAAATCAACGCAGAGCATTTAACCCAAATTTTCGTGACAAATGGAGACTTCGGAATGCACATTCGACATTAATGATTAAAAGCGCTTTACATACAGCATTATACTTCCTCGTATGTGGAAGCGCTGTAGCTCCCCGAAACTTCCCTGAAGACGAAAGAAGCCGTAATACTCGGGTAGAATATATACATTCGACATACAATAGGGCTTAGGTCTACTGGCATGGCCAAAAGGCCAGCCCACTCGGCGAGAGTACGATGGTGGAGCCCCTTAGTGATTTATTTCCTAAATCCTGAGTTAAACAAGCAACCAACGTATTACAAGTTCACCTAGGTGACCACTAGATGTCGACGCGATTTAAACAAAATTATTAGGTATCTTTTTGAATGCGTCAACTTTATACAATGTGTGGACAACTTCTGTGGACAACTTCCACAGTACTTAAAAACTGAATTCACAGTTATATAACTCGAACGTGTGTGGCTTTCTGTTTTGACAAAATGATATAAACCATTCCAGGTTATATTCTAACAATACCAGTTTTCAAATTCCCCAAAATTACTCAACTAGGATCCACAAATTGCTTCCTTTAGGGGTACACTGCCCATGTATACATATTTAATCTAGGCAATACACAAGCTAGGAAAAGCATACATTCTCCGCTGAAACTCATGCAGTGGCAACGCATTACTACATTTTAGCATTTGGGAGAGCAAAAGATTTGTACCTAGCGAAGATAAAAATGCACAGTCAAGAAGACGCCTTTCAAAAGTGATTAATTGCTACAAGATGGAAACTGAGACAAATGATGTACAAATACTCACACCCTGGAGTGTTTACATTTGTGCAAATCTTGGAAACGAAAACGCTCCAGCCATGCATCCAGTTAGTTAACCAATTCCCGCGTTATTTGTTTCCTTTCACAATTTGAGTGTTCTGATTACTTTTTGAATTTTTACCCTTTGAAGATAAACCACTTTTGAGGCAATTAGGCTAATAGGCTGGGCTGCTGTTTTCCATTTGCAAACTAGAATGCATGTTTTTAAGAGCAAGACATGAGATCGAGCAATCAGATTATTCCAGTATGCAAAGGGACTGCCATTATGAGGACAATTTATTGTGGAATTTATTCAGCTAAACATAAATTTATCCACACATCTAGATTCGTTTTACTAACCTTTATTGGGGTTATGCTAACACAACAACTGACAGGATGTAATAGTTTCCCTTCATATTTGACACCATTTTCAGGTGGGAAAATTTATCAAGGGTATCAAGAATCTGTGAAAGTTGGTTGACCCATTTCCAAGCTACGGGGTATTCATGTGAAAATGCCTCCGCGGCGTTATTCTGACCACGAAGGGATGCCCAATACATATCCCCTCCTACCACTTTGTATTAGTGTTAATATTACTCGACAAAATACAATTTAACGCGGTATTTGAAGACGAGTGAGGAATAAAGCAGCCAGGAAATAAACCTTTAACGCTGTTTGACAGACTTTAAATTGAAAATAGGGAAGTGGGAGAGTAAAGCTAACTCGAGAAATTGTATCAAACCAGTGCTCGTACTAGAGGAGTCAGGTCAAGGTGTGCTTATTGAATTGCACGACAGACGGAATCAGATGTGCTAGCTGTGTGTGGCTAATCCTAGCGTTTCTTTATGCCCGCACAAAAGGTAAGGATCGCTTTCTATGTCTGTGCTCTCCTAGGAAGATATTAGATGCACACGTAAGCAAATGCATGGAACAAAGAAAGTAGTTTTCTTCAATGCTTGTTTGTTCTACGAAGCCATCGACTAGTTCCCTATGGTGGAGATTTCCACTTACGCAAGGTCATTGACTGACTGGACTGGAAAAGGCACTGCCATCACCTGAATGAATCTGTATCATCTTAGACAACGATTCTCACTGGATCAAATCAATGAGATTTGATAGTACCACCGGGAAATTGTGCTGTTTTCGAGATCATTTAGGCGATTTTGCCGTAAGAATTAACGCAAAAAGTGGTTATTCCTATTTCCATATCTTGCTTTGTGTTTCTATCTTTGAAGAATTATTATACACTTTGGATGTTATAGAGTTATGTTTTTTAAGCCAAAATGTTGGAGGCGTTCATTATGTGAGCCAGAGTTGAGGCAAACAGATTCGAGTAGGTCATTTGGCTTGACGACTTCCGCTAAGAAATGGAATATTTCGGACATTATTGCGCAGAAGTTTACCGCATATGTAGATCGGAAAAGTTTCCAACAGGTTTCAGTGCTATTTTCTTGAACATTGCGTGTGCAAGCTAGCCCTAGCATTGCTATTACTAATTTGGACTTCCCAATTTTTACAGGAAAGTATGGCCAAGATTTCCAGAAATAATTCAACAAAATTAAAATCCCACCACTGTTTGTGCAAACACTTCGAGGATTATGGATCATACTTATTTTTTAAACTACTTGGATGGTCTATTTCTTTTTATTCCTACATACAGTGTAGGAAATTTCAATTTTAGTGGGATTGTAGCCGGAACACCATTTGCATTGGTTCGCATGAAAGTGATTCATTCAAAGCTTACTGCTATCCAACCAAGTGCTCGTGTCACGGAGGGCATAAATCCCACAAATGATGACTTGTCAATTTCATAAGAACATTCGTCTTCCCATATTCGCCATTGGTGAGTAAAAAGTCTAATGAGAACTTTCAGCATTTTACATATTTGATTTAAAAGGAGAAGGTTGTTTGTTCGATACATCAAGCGGATGAAGCCAATATCCCATAGAGAGAATGCAAATAAAACTTCGAAATCTCGGCATTTTACTCAGGCAATATTTACGATTGCACGTGGCGTAGGGCCTTTAGTCTCCCCTTATGAAAAAATTAACTATTCCCTATTCAGTGCAGCTTAGAAAGATCACGAGGTAATATATGAGCCTCTTTCCATCAAAAAACGGTTTTGCGCATCAACCTGTCAAGCTCTTCTACCTGCTTGTTTCTCTTGTGGAGACCGATTAATAGGGGGAAGGAGGTGTTATAAATGACGCGTCTAACCATGAAATGAAAGACTCAGTTTACTAAGAATTCTATCCATAAACATCAAAAAATGAGGAATATCTCTTATTCGAATTTCGCCAAGCCTATGGCTAACAGCTTTTGGAGAAAACGAAGTTGTGTTTTGACCATAGGCGAAATGAAAGTAAATTTCTACGCAATTTAGACTCAAATTTAAATACTATTTACACGAACACAGGGTATGGGACATAGTAATGGCTGAAAGAATGATGGTTGGATGGAATACTTTTACTTCATAGAAGAAATTAGTTTGAAAATTGCTGAGCCAGATGAAGCCTATTATTCCCTTGTGCTGTGCCAGAGGATTTAGTTGAAAAGTAGCCAGATACTTTAAGATTCACAAATCACTACCATTGTAGACGACAGTGACCAGGCCAGCACTAATTTTTCCACGTTGACACAAGCCAATGTTGTGTTAAGCTGTGTTGTGGATAAGGAAAATGCCGGGTTGATTTATGCTATTTGACCTCAGCAACGCAATAAAATGCAATCCACTGGAATAGATCGGCATCTAATCGTCCGGTCGGCAGGGTTGGGCCATGGCGACGGCAAGTTGATGATGCTGCCGCTGCTGGAAGGTCGGTCATGTGTGTATTCGCATGTTTTGAGGTCGACTGGCAAAGGGCACAAGTTGGCCTGAATTTCATTGCCGTTTGCACTCATGGTGACATAGGTAGCAAGGGAGCCCGTTCAGATTAGGAAGATTATGCCTTAGGAAGGAAAATCTGCACTCTCTTCTTGCTACAAGCCTTGTGTTCTGCCTATTTTGTGAATTTTCACCGGTCTCGAAAAAGCAAGATTTTAAATATTTCTGTTCCTTATAAAATTAAACTTTTTGGAATTACTACTTTAATTTGAGAAAGAAGGCCTGCTCGGGGGGGGGGGGAATTCCTATGCAATTTCTGGAGTCTCAATTTAACTCAACAGAGTTGCTTCAGTAGTGGAGCATTGAATTCAGCATGTCTTCCGGTAGTCTTAATGAGTCCAAGTAGTATGGAAGCACATGCATTACTAGCTTAAAGAAAATTCGAAGGGCTATTACCATGGCTCGCAGTCCATGCCCTAGGAGAGGAGTACGATCTGTGGAGACTGAATTGTTCGTAGAATTAAACACGCAGTTGAATAAAACATCGATTTGCCACGTTTACATACCTCACCCTCAAACCTTCAAATAATGTGAAACAGATAAGTACATACTTGTAAATTCATTGAAGACTATTTACAGGCGCAAAACATCCTATATAGAAGTTTAGAAATGCCGTTTGAATCACACTGATATTTCGAGACGATTCGCAGCTCCAAATAAGGCTACTTCTTTCGTACATAACCCATTTTAGGGATAGTTTTGTCCATCAATTGAGCGAAGCTTGAAACCTAGTTTAAAATCAAATGCATCTTTTGAGAGTAAGCATCTAATTTTTCTACCACCTGAAGATGTTAGTGCGATGACCCATTCGCTGATGGATGTACTGCCAAGGCAGATTGTACTTCCGAATGCCTAAAGTCATCAGCAAAACGCCACTCAAGAATTCATTTCCTCTAATTTTGTAACCGATATTTATGCTATTTGCAAGACTGACATTTGTTGCTGTTAATTGTTGTTTTTCATCCGAGGCTGACGCAGACTAGTTGAAAAATCATGGCAATCTTTTTCATTCAATCATTACTATGTCCAGGGTGAAGATCAGCATAGCACTGTTCCAATGAACCACCTCAACTATGGATAATAAATGTGAAAAATTGAAGGAATAAACAAGGAATTGTTCAATGGCCAATGTTTTACTTGAATAGAACCAATATCTTTTTAAATAATCAGTAATAACTTCTTCAAACACTGGAAGTCATATTGTTCGAGTGGAATATTGTCATGACCAACACGATTTGTTTAGGTCTTAAAATGATAAAAATAAGCAAATGGGAAGCACGAATTAAAGAACTTGAGGAGTTTATTAATTGCCTCCAGTAACAAATTCAGTGCTTTACTAGTTACCTCCTTCAGTAGGAACATTAAGGCTTTGACTTATTTACCAATTTAGTATCGCAGTCGAGATGTGTCGGTGTTATTCGCGTGCTAATTTAATGATAACTTTCATGAGTGGTGGTATTCATGCAGTCATTAAATTTCAAAAACTTGAGTTTTGCAACCACAAATTTTTTAACAAAGAAAACAAAGAGTTACATGGAATAAGTTGGGTAATCCCCATGATGTCTTTAGGTTTTTTATTTAAATAGTCCAGCACTTTTTATAGAGTTAGTATGTGTTGTGTAGTGCCTCGGCACTTCCCTGAAGATGATAGAAGACGTAATACTCGAGCAGAATACATGGATTTGGCATACAGTAGGGCTTGGAGCTACTAGCATAACCCGGAGGCCAGGCCACCCAGCGGAGGCACAATGACGGAGCCTTAAGGTGGCCCTCCTTTTCAAAATCTTCCGCTGAAGAACAGAAAGGGACTCTCAACAAATAATTGGGGTACAACGTAAAAATATTTACAGCTCTGCGAAGTAAAGAGCACTTTCTGAAGCTTGAAACTGAAAAGATGTATCAATGTATATGATGGAAAGAAATGATCACATTCTCTTCGGGAAAGTGCACTGCCACAAGATGGGGAAGCAAAATAAGGAAAAAACGTTTATTCCAAAAATGCCCAAACATTACATGTTGATGCCTGGTGCCATCTTCCACGTTTTTCACAATGCTTCAAGTCCACATTTTAATAATCTGCAGGCCACCCAGTCCCTACCTGTCATCTGTACTCGATCTACAAATATACTTTACTTGGAGTAACTTTTTATTGGATTTTTTTATATAAATATCGTATCGAGTAATCGACTACAAACTGATACTCAAGCAAAGGTATGCTCGAAGTTTTTTATTTCCTGTCCATCACTTTTGCAGCGGTATGACAGAAGCAGTTGCCGTTGGGCGGACCACAGGGGTTATCTAAATAAGGCAACATTTTCGCCTACGTGCAGTCTTCTTTTTGCATAGTGGCTACCTGGACCGTAACGCATTCGTTTTCATATCCACTAAAGACAACTAAATCAGCCCTGGAAGCGGCATCACAGTGTAGTCGCAGCAACAGCAGCAGCAGTAGTGCACAGTGGCTTACACGTCCGCACCAACCAATCGATCGCTCGCCACACCAGTGACCTTGTTGACCTGCCCGTATGCGTGCATGCGTGCAAACACCGCCATGATTGGTCCTCGAGGGTGTGCACATGTGTGGGTTTGGAAGGAGAGGGGACAGTGGGCCCAACCACGGGGATGTGGATATGTGCACACATGCACACACCAAGCGCGCGGACGTATGCTGTCCCTGCGCTGGGCGTGGGTGATGGGGCTAGGCCCCCAGGCGATCAATTTGTACGCGTACATAACACATGTCTATGCCTGGAGGTAGTTTGCGCTGCCTGTGGAAACACTGAAATTGTTGTCTAAGTGAGGGTGAGTGTGCAGGTTAGGCAGACTACAGGCCCACGGCAAGACAGAGGGTGCGGTTTATGTTCTACTCCTGTTTCTAGTGAATATCTCTTGAGAAGAGGGACATTGACGACTGCTCCACGCGAAACCGCGATTCCATTCACCTTTTATTCCTACAATCTTTCATGCACTCAAGGCAGTGAACTCACACCGAAATAACTCCGTAATCAGTGCTACACAATGGAGAACGCTCACTGTCGCAAAATCGAAGACGTTCTCGCATTTTTCAATGTGGACGAAGAGACAGGCTTGTCTGATGAGCAAGTCAAACGACAAACTGAGAAATACGGTCTCAACGGTGAGCAGACTGAACGGAATAGTTGGCCTCATTGTTTAGCAATTGATTTACTAATTCAAATTTGATCCGTATTTTTAGATAATATACGTCATTTTAAAAGTATAATTTTAAGTTTATACATGAATATAGTAGTCTGAATGCTTTCAACCAACTATAACACCATGATTCATCATCCGAACGGAATTTTGGATTCATATTGATGGAATAATTAAAAAGGGGATCTGAAGCAACACCGTACTTTTTCCTTCATTAACTTACCATGAATTCCAAATATGATAGCGGGCACATGGCAAGCATTTTTTCGGTATATTACTTCGGCTTCTTGATGGATTCTAATAACTAACTTGTAAGTAATTACTGCATGTTTTCATATTTACAATTGGACATGCCTTTTGATAGGCCAATTTTAATTAACCTTCACAAAACATTGCTGCAAATACTAGTTTGTAAAGGGGAAAAGTGAGCGGATATAATATGCAATTGCAATTTAGTTGAAAGCTAATGACGAGATAATGCAGCAGTGCAAATTCCACTTGCAAGCTGGCCCTTTAATATATGTGTTTCATCAGCATAAAAGCCTTAAAATTGAAACATTCAATGGATTTTGGCTAAAATAGCCCTTGTGGTGTCAATACCAGTAGGAGAAAGTGGGAATATGGTAATCACTCATTTGTTTTTTTTTCTCATTTCAGAACTTCCTGCTGAAGAAGGTGAGAGAAAATGCACCACAATCACTAGTGCAAATAGCGGCTTTGAAAATCAAAATGTTTATATCCATTTCTTTGGATGTTCAAGCAGCCGAAACTGGTCATATTGTCATTATGCTCCTTTCATGCAAAATTTAACTGTTGTATTCTTTTTTGCTTCCACTTAAATGTGTTCTCCTTTGCAGCCAAGTCAATTTGGGAGCTTGTTGTTGAACAGTTTGATGACCTCCTTGTCAAAATCCTTCTCCTCGCCGCTCTAATCTCTTTCGTAAGTTCTCCTGCTCGGCCGGATCTGCATTAGCCGAAATTGAATATGTGCGCAGCTCTCTAAAGCATTTGTCTTTGAAGAAGCGTACGTTAACGATGCATACTCCTTTGCTCCACTGGAGCAGGTATGGAACGTTGATCCAAAAGTAATTCCATAAATAATATATTTATTTGTTGTGATATAGTAATGTTGGCGATATCGTCTTTACATAAACAATTAACCTCTGTAAGTTTGATTACTTTAAGTTCCGAATAGTTACGGTTTTACTGTCCATAAAATTTAAAACAAAACTTTTCCAAAATAAAAGTGGATGACAGATGTGAGCTGCACTACAAAGGTATTGTCCTTTAAAGTGATTGTTTCACCAATACCCCCAAATAGGTGCTAAATCACGGAAATGGCCAGAGTTCCTAGTGTGATGCTTTGGCAATTCTAACGTGTTTCCCGCAAAAACTAGACAACCTCCGTGTCCTGTTACATAAAGAGTAACAATAAGTAGTTGACACAATGCCATTCTTTGCGCTTTCTTTCGGTGCAAAATAAATGCCAATCCCTGTACTTACACACAAAACATCTATGCAAGAAGAAATTGTCAGTTAGGTCTGGGCAACTTGTTTAGTCATTGTTTCAACTGAGAGCGTTGTACACCTTCAGGTATTGGCTTTATTTGAAGAGGACGACGACTCCATCACCGCTTTTGTGGAGCCTTTCGTCATTTTGCTCATCCTCATCGCAAACGCAGTCGTTGGTGTCTGGCAAGTGAGTCGATTTCGTTTAATGGTTGATCTAAAAGTCCTTCTAAAACCCAAATAATTTCGTCGGCTAATTCTACCCTTCCACCAACTTCCCACTCCCCAGTAGTCCCGCATACACATACAACTGTATAGTTGTGTGCGAATACTTAACTTGCATTATGGGTAATTTTGCATGAAGACAGGTCGCTGTTTTCAAGGATGATTCGATATCGGCATACCGAACCCCCAAACTCATTATGCATTGCAGACGGTTCGCCCATCCAGTTGTTTGATAACTTGTTAATTCAAACTAAAATACGCGCTGGGTGCTTCTAGCATTATAAGTACAAAAATTAAACATTCATTCATTTGTATGGGTGGGTCCTGCTTTCAATTAAAAGCATGCCTAAAGTCAAGGAATTGGAACCATTTGTCCTTAGACAACTGTTTAATCAGCAAGGCTTGCAGTTGCTACTCGCCTTTATCCCAGACCATACATTTCATTGTCCCTACGTGTTGCAGAGCGATTGCAACTTGAGTACTGGTGCGCCATATAACCGACAAGGTGGACTGTAAATAGGCTCCTGCCCTTAACAACGAGTATGGTATTCCCAGTACAAACGTCGCACATTGAAATAGATTGTGTCGAATTTTGATAATATTATAGGATAGAGTGATTAAAATGTTATATGTAAAAAGAATAATGCAGTTGAATGCGTCCCCCATTAACTTCACTCATTGTAGGAAAGAAACGCCGAGTCAGCTATCGAGGCTTTGAAGGAATATGAGCCGGAAATTGCCAAAGTCTACCGAAAAAACCACCACGGCATTCAGCGGATCAAAGCGGTTTCTCTGGTGCCAGGTGATATTGTCGAGGTCTCCGGTACGTCTCCACCCCGCCGTATTTAATATTCACTCCAGACAATGCAGCGCCGATAAGTTATTAACCAAACGCCTTGGCAATAAATAGAATTTAGATTTTCTTTAATCTATCTAAGGTCAACCAAGCAGGCTTTAATGGAAGCCGTCGATACTAGGACTACAAATAATTATTGGGACAATTCGAAATGCCCATCCGGAACTGTACTGTTTCATTCTCCTTTGGCACATACGACGTGAATTTTAAGACGCTTATGCTTTTTATTCATGAATAGTATAAAATGAGCTTGTAAATTATGAATAGGATTTATTAAAGTTGTGCCAGAATGACAAATAATCCAGCTTCAGAATCGAAATTATTTCGGGAATCTGCAAATTCCACTAACAAATACTACTTACATACGCACCTTAGAGTCTGTGCACATCTCATGTAATTCGCCGGAAAGCTGGAGGCACTCCGTGTGGTTTGCTCCTAAAACAGACTCCAAATGACCTAAATGCCTTGACTCGTTCAGCCGTTAGTGTCATGCACCGTGAATGCTGCAAGGCGGCATTACCTTTATCAAATCTTGTTCACGTAGGTACTTTAATCGCCGACCTCTCATCTGCATCTTGAACCCTAAAGTAGAACCAGTATTCTATGGTCAAATTATTTGTTTTATAACAGAGGTGTTTGAAATACAGACTCGACGCTTTCAGGTTGATCATAGAAATGAAAACAGACTGATGTAACCAGGCCTTTGTTGAAATGAAACTAGCCGGTATTTGGCGAAAGTCGAGGTCAGCTAGTGAGACCTATTTCGCAGCTTTTCAGAGAGTGGAAAATAAGTACCTGTGAAAGTTTGATTGGGATGTACTTAGCTACATTATACTCGGCCCGTTGAATGAGTCAAAGGGGCAATAAACAAATCCATTACATTAAGTCGAAATTCCTTTTCATCTCGAAGAGTAGCTAGAAATTCACAAAAAAGACGACGGAACTTCGGGGATCTGCGCTCTTAAGCTCATCTGCAACTAAACGAATTCAACTATCACCAAAGTGATGGATTATTTTATTTGTCAGTCGGCGACAAAGTCCCAGCGGATGTGCGCATTACAAGGATCTTCAGTACGACAATGCGCGTGGACCAGTCTATCCTCACGGGTGAGTCAGTCTCGGTGTTGAAGATAACTGAGGAGGTGCCTGACCCGCGAGCGGTGAACCAGGATAAGAAGAACATGCTCTTCAGCGGCACTAACATCGCGGCCGGCAAGTGCCGAGGTGTGGTTATTGGTACTGGTCTCTCCACCGAGATCGGCAAAATCCGCAACCAAATGATGGACACCGATCAGGACAGGACACCACTTCAGCAGAAACTCGATGAATTCGGCCAACAACTCTCAAAGGTAGGTATCAGACTACTCACTTCGTGCTATAAATTAATGTTTGTGTGCAGGATTTCCCTAGACCTTAACGAACCCCCCAACCAGATAGTCATTAAATAAATGCTTTAGAGCAGATTTCTTCATTGACTGACTGACCAACGTGTTAGGGCACGCACAGGAGTACAGCGTGCATGTATGCGTCTAGCGCCAGCAAGGTCTGAATCCGCGTCTGCGTCGGAGTTACTGGGTCGGTTTTGTCATGAGTAGTTATTGGTGATCGGTTGATCCTGGGTTTAGTGCGACTATTAGTGTACTTAAGGTGCAGCTAAAGCCATCTTAGTCAGTCGCAAGGGGGTGAGGGAGAGGCAGCTTCCAGGTTGTTCATGGAAATAATCACGGAAATGAAATCTTCCAGAAATTTGAATAAACTTTTTCCTGGAGTTTGCAGGCATCTTCAGCATTTTGCCTAGTCGAGATAATTGGAACTTCTAATGGAAGTATAGGTATAGAAATAAACTTATTGGTCAAGAGAACAGTGGAGTGTAATTCTCTTAAAAATGTCATTCATGAGTGCAGGTGATCTCAATAATCTGCATCGCGGTATGGGCTATCAACATTGGTCACTTCAACGACCCGGCACATGGTGGTTCTTGGATTCGTGGTGCAATCTACTACTTCAAGATTGCTGTGGCGCTAGCGGTGGCAGCGATTCCGGAGGGTTTACCGGCAGTCATCACGACGTGTCTGGCTCTGGGCACGCGTCGTATGGCAGCGAAGAACGCTATTGTGCGCTCCCTGCCGTCTGTGGAGACTCTCGGCTGCACTAGTGTCATCTGCACGGACAAGACTGGCACCCTCACCACCAATCAGATGAGCGTCTGTCGCGCCTTCATCTTCTCCCAGGCCGACGATAACAACATCTCCACCCACCAATTCGAAATCACTGGTTCCAAATATGCTCCTGAGGGCGAAGTGTAAGTCCATCTTTCCTTGCCGTACTCTGTTAGTCTTAATTACAGCCCCTTCAAGAACTCGGTATCACCTTCAACTATCGCAAACATTACTCGATGTCAAAAAAGTGTGAATGGAATTAAAAACAAGAAACACATTGGTTTTTTAACTGACTGCATAAATTTAGCATTATTTTGCATAACCAATGGTAGAACTACTGAAAAACAATTAAATTATATTGTACTAACCCTCATGAGTTCAAGAGGCCTTTGGGCAGGTGCGACTTATGGATGTGTACTTACTTTAGTTTCCTTGGTGGTCAGCGCGTGAAATGTGGTGAATACGATGGTCTGATTGAGTTGGCCAACATCTGCGCCATGTGCAACGACTCAGCAGTGGACTACAATGAGTCGAAGGGTCTATTTGAGAAGGTTGGCGAGGCCACTGAGACAGCTCTTTGCGTTTTCGTTGAGAAGATGAATGTCTACAACGTGTCCAAAGCTGGTCTTACTAAAAAAGAGCTTGGCATGGTATGCAATCACAACATTCAGGTGAGTTCCTCTTATGTTAAGGAATAAAAAACCAATCGGTCATTTAATCACATTTTCATCGTGTATTGGTTTAATAAACTCCACGATGCACATTGCTCAAGTCCCTGGCTGAATTAGTAATTTAGTAATCAGAAGTGCCCATTTTGTAGAGGGTGTCTTAGGATTTGTGCAAAAAATCCGTTAGACAGTCATGAAAACCAATGGACATCCGATAACCAAACAAAGTACTCAGCTCAAAGCTAGACATTTAGAATTGGCACAGTCTTTCTATATGAACAGTCATAGAAACCCTCATGCAAGAGAGAATCAAGGACCACTTCTATGAGGTTGCGAATCAAAGGAGAGGGGGATTTTAATTGAGGACCTATGTCTTTACAGGACATGTGGGACAAGCTATTCACACTCGAGTTCTCCCGCGACCGCAAATCGATGTCTGTGTTCGTGGTACCGAGGGGAGGCTCAAGGAACGCCTATCCTGTGGGTGGGGTGAGCACGGCCTCAGGGCCAGGAGTGCGGATGTTCGTGAAGGGTGCAACCGAGAGCGTTCTCGATCGCTGCACCTTTGTACGCGCCGGCTCTAAGAAGGTCGCCATGACTCCGCAGATCAAGGCGGAAATTGTAAAGCTCGTCGCTGCCTACGGTACCGGTCGTGATACTCTCCGCTGTCTTGCTCTTGCCACCTGCGATGCACCTATCCCCAAGGAGCAGATGGATCTTGAGGACTCCTCTAAGTTCAAGAAGTATGAGGTACGAAAACGCACTTAACCACACAAACACGCACATACCAATGTTAGAGTGCTTCTCAAAAAACCTTTGAGCTGATGGTGAGGTTTGTTTTGGTTAATAAGGAGTGTATATATCTTAAATTTCAGGTACTACTTTTTGTTGTCAAATGCATCATTTACCTTAAAATGCATTTCATCTACACCTTTGTAAGTATCAAATGAGAAGAGTTTTACCATGAGATTGGTAATCGAATACTTTTGCCTGAAATTGATGACAGAGCAACAATATTTCCCCCTCATTGAGAGAAGGAAATAAGGCATTAAATTATTAACTTTTGAAAAGCCAACGAGCAATTAAGTACTAAAGATGGCTTGTTGAACAGATTGTTATACCAAATAACTTTCCCATCTAGGGATTTCCAGTCAAATAATGTCCTTGCTCCAGCTTTTTCTTGAATAGTGAATAAAAAGCAGTGCTTTTGGGGCCACACATGTTCATTTTATGATACCCTGCTGAATAGTGCATGGAATTACTCCCAGCAAATGTGCTTTTTGGTTTCAGTTAAGGTAGGGAACTCCGTTTCAGTATGTAAGTCGAAGAAGGCAGATCAAATAAATTATTTACTATCCTCAGTCAAATATGAGAGCCTTGATATTAGCGTACTTTAATCGTTTTAGCTATTTCTAAGAGGCGATCAAAAATGATCACTTTCCAGTAAATCATTAGGTATAAAAGGTAGAAGACTATGTGGACTTGGACATCGCCAGGAGTTGGAGTGCAAAGCCCGCTCAACTTGGTTACCTTTTAACATTTAGTGTATTTGGCTACAGATAGCAAATTGGCTTGAATAAAGTTAAGAAACGGCAATTTGTGTCTCCCTTATGAGAAAACGACTAGTAGAAGAGACAGGTTACATAGAAGTTGCCTACTAGCAGGCTTAGGTTTTAGTAAGTTTAAGTACTTGGTTAAAACGGATTATTTATGATCACTTATCCCCTCTTTTTTGTGAATAGAGCAATTTGACTTTCATTGGTGTCGTTGGTATGCTGGATCCACCACGAACTGAGGTGCACGACAGTATCGAGAAGTGTCGTCATGCGGGCATTCGCGTCATCGTTATTACAGGCGATAACAAGGCTACTGCAGAGGCCATCTGCCGTCGCATCGGCGTTTTCTCAGAGGATGAGCCCACCACTGGCAAGTCCTTCACCGGTCGCGAGTTCGATGACTTGTCTATCGAGGAGCAGCGCGAAGCTGTCCGACGCGCGCGTCTCTTCGCGCGTGTTGAGCCTGCACACAAGAGCAAGATCGTAGAGTTTCTGCAGGCCGATGGTGAAGTCACCGCGATGGTAAGTCTACCGTCTTGGGCTGTGTCATGGAGTTTACGATGGAGCTAACTCACCTGTCCCCTTGCCCTACTGTAGACAGGTGATGGAGTAAACGACGCCCCAGCTCTGAAGAAGGCTGAGATCGGTATAGCCATGGGAAGCGGAACAGCCGTAGCCAAGTCGGCCTCTGAGATGGTTCTGGCTGACGACAACTTTTCCACCATCGTAGCTGCCGTAGAGGAGGGTCGTGCCATCTACAGCAATATGAAGCAATTCATTCGATACCTCATCTCCTCCAATGTTGGTGAAGGTGAGCCAACTGAAGAGTGCGACTATCCATGATCTTTTTTAATGCAGTTTTACAGGCGTAGTCTTCAGGTAAACATTCATCAAATTCCTAGTCTGTTAAAAAAGTAGTATTATATTATTTTTAGAAGGGCTATTGTCATCCGGTATCGGGATACTCGTCATACTGTTGAGTCTCCACTGGTACACACAAATTAACTAAACGTTCTTTTAGTGGTGAGTATCTTCCTGACCGCGGCGCTTGGTCTGCCGGAGGCATTAATTCCTGTGCAGCTGTTGTGGGTAAACCTCGTGACCGACGGTTTACCCGCCACCGCATTGGGTTTTAACCCGCCCGACCTGGACATCATGGTGCGTCCTCCTCGTAGCGTCTCCGACCCCCTCATCTCTGGCTGGCTCTTCTTTCGTTATCTTACTATTGGCGGTTACGTGGGCTGTGCTACTGTCGGCTCCGCTGCTTGGTGGTTCCTCATCTACGACAAGGGTCCCCAGCTCAACTACTACCAGCTCGTGAGTCTTTGAGCTAGCATTTGTATTTCTCAGTAATATATGATGGTTTGTTGATTATAGCCGCAAATAATTTGATCAGACATGACGGTTATGAAATTGAAAATAATTGAAGTTTCAATGAAGCATAGTTTGAGAATTTGAGATTAAGTGGGATTTTTACTCAATATCACGATCACCCCTGCGTAGACCCATCACATGCAATGCTTGGCAGAGCATGACAACTTCCACGGCATTGATTGTCGAATCTTCGAGAACCCAAAGCCCATGACCATGGCCCTGTCGGTTTTGGTCTTGGTAGAAATGCTCAACGCTATGAACAGGTAACCCTCTGCCTGCTCAAGCATGTTCTCAATGCCATCGTGTTCTTTGTCTACTAGACCCATCAATCACAATGCCTGGCTCAAGAGAGTCGCTTCAAAGGCATAGACTGCTCCATCTTCGTTCATCCGAAACCCATGACAATGGCGCTTTCTGTGCTTGTGGTTATAGAAATGCTCAACGCAATGAACAGGTGAGTAGGCCGCTGCCTCAACTTCCAATTCCCGAAAGAGAGATAGAGAAACTGCTCATTGGTGGCGGTAGTGACGGTACCCAGTGCACCGCCTTCACACGTATCGTCTCGCACACGCGTAAGCAGATCACGTGTGTTTGATTGACGTGCGTGTTTGTTGGCGAGTGTCATGCAGCTTGCATGCCCATTTGGCAGGAAGACTGTTTTCTTCATACCGCTCTCCCCTCCCCTCTCTTTTCTCACCTTCATGCATCCAGTGAACCAAGGGGCTCCTAAGGTAATGTGGCGATTTACCTAGAACTCACCTCCCCCAGGGATTTTTCTCAATTTCGGTGGCCCTCACAGTCATAGGCTAGGGGGGCGAGAGCATTAGCTCCTCCTCTCTATCGTGCGTCAGTGCAAAGATCTTAACACCTAAGTGCCATTACCCAGTGGAGCCCTTTGCAAAAAAACTTAAACCAACGGTGTCTTATGAGGCTGCCACCTAAGCACATAAACAGAATCCCATATAGCCAATGTGATCTTGCTAAAATAAGGCGAGAATAATGGTTTTTTACAAAGAAAAGCCCCTTTGGTTGACTGGGAATGTGTGTGAGGGAGAGAAAGAGAGTGATAGGGTGACTAAAAAGCAGACTTCCTGCCAACCAGCACAGATGGCCACTTTGGAGTAGAATGCGTAAAATAGTTGGCTTAGGTGGCGGCCTACTCAGACCTGTGTGGTTTAGCATGTGGTTTTGCACTTTTGTGCTTCCCTTCCCCTTTCCTACATTTTGTTTCTTTTCACCTCTACGCAATGAGCACCATTTGCATGCATTATGGTGAGAAGTTTTCCGGGATAGACATGCTATCTGACTACGAAAATCTATTGTCCTCTAATTAACGGTTTTTCGTTGTTCCTCAGGCGTTAGTTTTATAAAAAAATGCTTTCCAAATGGATGAGAAGCACTTAAACTAAGCTAGGGATTGTCTGAAATTCAATTCCGATTAAAAGCAGTGGGGAGGACGAATAAATTGTCTATAGTGAAAGAAAAATTCACTTAAATTTAACAGTTAGATGAGCATCACAAATACAAGTCATATTTCCTTGTTTGGAGATTTCCTTTTTATAAAATTAACATATTTAGATCACTTTATCACATTATTATTGTGATATATGGTCGGAATTGGCCCCAATTGTTGTAAAAGAGATTGATCTGGAGAGATGAAAACCCCAGAGGGACCTTTTAAGGTTGTTTCCTCTCTTGGCCATTGGTGTGTGAAGGGTATTCAGGGAGGTTTGCTATACAGTACCCATTCACGTATTGTGTAGAAAAGACTGTTTTCACTTTCTCCCCGTAAAATCTTTTTTGCTTCACGAAGTTGCCTTATTTTGAAATTGTTAATGCTCAGAAAAGATCACTTCACCAAGGTTAGTTGCAGTAGTTCTTAATAAATAGCTCTACCCTTTTCATTTCATTTCAATAAACTCGTTGAGTTATGATTATCTCTAAGTGGATTTTTTGACTTTTATTTTTGTATGCACTTTACTTCATATGGTAAAGTCGGGGAGTTTATCTTTCCAACTATAAAAGGGTTATAATGCATAGACTTGCCATCGGTTAGGAAGGAATGTACTTTCATATTTTATCTGAATGTCTTTACGTTTCAAAACTCCTGCGAGAACAATCAAGCCCTCCGTAGTTTTCGTTTGAAGCTTCATAGTACCAACCTGGGCAGTTGCATTCCTGTTGGTTTTATATGCGTTCATATGACTTCCCAAACAAATGAAAGAGAATCCGGATAAAACAGTGCCCAGATTATTTGCTTTTTAACAGTTCGTTTTTCAAAAGACAAGGC